TTTCGTGCTTTTGATTTAAATGGTGATCATGGTATTAGTTTTTCTGAAGTAAGTTTTTGTCCTTGTAAAACATTATTTGAATAGATTATTAAACATAATTAGATATTGTTCTTCTTCTCCTCAATAGAATGAATTCCCAAAAGTTACAAGTTCGAAACTCAATTTTCTCTTAATGATATAATCTATTCTAATAATAGACTAGCTTTATTATGCATCACTGAAGTATATTAATACTAACATCGTCATTCAGAATAAATAGCTGCTGATTTACAATGACATACAAAATGACCTAATAGGTTTTTCAAATAAACTCACAATTGATTGATCTTAATCAAGTGATGTTTCTTTTTCCTTGTCTCATGGTAGATAAATACAAAGAGTTTTATGTTTTTTTTTATCGATAAGGGTTATTAAAATTATTTTAAACTATCGTCATTAATCTAAATACAAAAAAAACAACAAACAAGTTGTCGTATTTTTTTCTCGATTTTCTTTTTAAGGCATATTAGAATATGACATTAATGATGATAGTTTTTTTATCGACATACATAAAATGGAAAAGAAAGATTTCAGAATAAATGAAAAATTCTCGCTGTTTTTTTTTGTGACATACGATCTAAACTAAGTGTTAAAGTATAGGGGTAAATACTTATTCTTCCGATAGACGTGACGTACATCCTTAGCAACGCTTCCTCTTCATTATAAATCTTGGCAAATATTAATCAGTGACTATCAAAGACGATATAATAATAGCGTCTCTTTTTTTTTTAATATATAAACTACTTCTTTATGTGCATTTCTAAACGATAAAATAAAAAATTCATGATGAAATATTTTTCAAAATTAAATATAATAAAACAATCTTTCCGTAATTAACTACAAAAATTACATTGAATTTCATATTTTAATCCAATAAAAATTGTTTTAACCAATTCTAGCGAATTTTAAGACTTGTATTTTTAAATTAGACAAAATTAAAACATAGATTTGAAAAGAATATTTAAAATTGAATGCAATTGACATCAAAAAAAATCTTCAGAAATTTAGTCATTATGCCAAGTTTTACGAACTGTCTTACTCCTAGAAATTCTTCAACTTTTGTCTAATGCAAAATAACAGTCTCAAAATCAATTAGTATTAATCAAAAAAAAAATCTAAAAACATGCGAGTTTTTGATACATTCCATATGAACTACATTCTTAATAAAGATAACAATGTTATATTTGATATCCTATTCTAGTAATTCAATACATCCCAAGTTTTAAACAATTCTTTTGAAATTTGTCGATTGAAAAAGAAAATTCAATATATCTTTCTATCATACAAAAAACTAATTACTTTGAAAACGTTCAATCAATAATAAAATTATTCGGAAAAACTTTTGGTATATTCCGTATATATATATAAAAGATGCACATAACATTTTTTTTCTGACATGAGGAAAACAAAACACTTTATAAGTGCAACTTGTTACAGCTATACATGACTAAAGAATCTCATTTGAGTGATTAAAAGCTTCTGAACTCATATTCTACCATGTAATAAGTAGAATTTGATGAAAATTGAAAATATTTCAATGACTTTATGTCCCTTTAGATATTTGTATTGAATATTATTAAAAATTAATTAAGAAAAAAAAAAATTCATCATGAAGATTAAAATCATAATCATCATGACTAGATAATAAAAAAATATATTGTCTAGTTTGCTTAGTCGATTTTTAATAATATATTTTTATGTTAATGTTTGATGAAGTATGCAACATAACTAGTTTTTATTTATTAATTCTTTACCTCCTACGGTGGTTCTACAAGAGTCATTAATAAATATGCTACTATTGTGTTTAGATCCATTTGGTGTCCTACTGGTTGTGTAGGATAATTGTAGTAATTCAAGTAATAATATGATAGAAAATAGAGATTAGAAGCCTTGATACTTGTTTTTTCTTTCATAGTTATATCTAGGAGCTATAAAAAACCGAAAGGATGAAGACGTACATTTTTTTTCTTCTGACATATAGTGTCAAATGATTATCCAGGGTTAGGGATGAAGCGTGTTTCTGAGTTATCGGTGAGTAATGAAAAACAAAAGAACGATGAAGTCGTGTTAAGGAAAAACAAAAATTTTTTAAGATATTCTATCCATATTAAATATTAATTCAAAATCTCATATGATCAGGCTTATAAAACATACATTAAGGTTATTTTTAGATTTTCTTTTGTCTATCGAACAATGATAACACAATTCATGTTTGGTTTAGTGTTCTATAATTTGTCAAGCGATCATAGAATTTTCAATACTTGTATTAATCAGTAATAGATATCTCCTTATCGAATATCTATTATGCGACAAACTCCAAAGATTTCTACGCTGATATTAGAGAATATTTTCTTTGTAAAATTTCAATTAAGATTAATTATTAATATCAAATTAAAATAAAAGAAAAGATATTGAATAAAAATTCCATATAAATATTTTATATTTAGTATGAAAAACATAAATATATTTTTTTTACTATGATTAAATTATTTCAAAAGTCAACGTACTTTTTAAAATCATTAGAAATTTGAGCGTTCAATGTGATAAACAAATTATCATGAAGTGAAATCTGACCCATGTTGTAAAAGTCATGTTGTTATATTTTTTGGATCAACTAACGAAATAAATAGAGTGTTACATATGAATGCAAGAGTAATTTAGAATGTCAGAAATCAGAGATGCGATTAGGTCATATGGTTTTGCAAACAAATCGAGCTGATCTTTTTTTCATAAAAATTTCAAACTAAACTAATGTCATTTCTACTAAGAATATTTATATTAAATTGGTGACATATTTCATAAAGTAATTTATTCATGTTCTATGTTTGTTTTCACTACTTATGATACACTACGGCAAAATATAGGTCAAACGATAGCCTATCATTTAAATATCAAATTAATGCTGATTGATGATCACCGATTTGCTGGCAGTTCCAATTGAATCATAATGCTTTATCGTTTGAAATATTCATATGTTAGCGACTTATGCCTATAGTGACAAAGGTTTTTTTTTAAATATCTTCTAATCTTATCGAGATTTTAATTTACTAATTAAATATAAATTTAAAAGTTTTGAATCAATAGATAAAAATTCTTGATCATATGTAATATGAAATTAAACAAAAATTCATTAAATCAATTTCAAAATAATCATTTTAATTTAGTTTCTTATTGCATATGTGGCTACAACAGAAGCACCATTAGAACATAAACTTCGATATGCATTCAATGTTTATGATTTAGATCATAATTCAATGATAGATAGAGCTGAAGTTTTATTTATTTTACGTGCTATGTTTCAATTATTAGGAATGAATGATAATGAATTAAATAAATATTCATATGAACAATGTGCTGATACAATAATGAAAACTCTTGATATTAATGAAGATCAACGTATATCAAAAGAAGAATTTATTCAAGGTTTATTACAAGATTCTTTTTTACAAAGTCTTATGAATCCTTTTCAAAATAAATAATTCATATATATATATATATTTTCTTTTTTGCCATAAATTATTATCGTATTGTTTTGTCTCGTATGATTATGTGATTGAAGATTTCTAGAACAAATTAAAATAATACTAATTACTAAAGTTTTATATTTTCTACAATAGAAATAATCTTATTTAAAAAGAAAAACAGTTATTAGTACAATATCTACGAGATTAAAATATAATGTAATTTCTCTTACTAATTATAAAGGAGGAGGAATTATTTTATCTAGTCAAGAAGATATTTCTTCAATCTTCTTTTAGTTAATCCATAAAAGAGTAGTTCATTTATTATAATGAAATCTTATTAATATACAGTCTGTCTACATTTTTATCCCTATACTTTCAACTCTCATAAAAATTGATTATTAAATATAACAAATAAAATTTTTTATTCATTTCATACTAACGATGGAACCTCCCCAAGTATGAATCGCTAATTGACCTCATATTTTACTCATAAGTAAGACTCGATAAGATTAGCAGAAGCCCGGAAGGATTCATCCCCATACGCTTTCCTTCCGGAGTTACGATCATTTTACTGGTTTTTCGACCTCTGGGAATGGTATTGATAGGAAAGCCTAACAATCGAATTTTGACCTGAAATTTTTTTTCATAAACAGATCTCGTGATCACTAGAATGTCCTAAAAGTTTCAGCTAAAATGAACGTTTCTTTCTTGAGATATTGAGTTTTCAAGGAACGATCATATTTCAAAGACAAAGGTAAAAAAATCGAGCTTATTGGGAAACTCAATATCTTGAGAAAGAAACGTTCATTCAAGCTGAAACTTTTATGACATTCTAGTAACCATGAGACCTGTTTATGAACAAAATTTCAGGTCAAAACTCCATTGTTGGACTTTCCTATAAATACCATTACCAGCGATCGTAACTCCAGAAGGACAGTGTATGGGGAATGAATTCTTCCGGGCTTCTGCTAGTCTTACTTATGAGCAAAATATGAGTTTAATTAGCGATTAACACTTGGGGAGGTTTCCTCGAAAGAAAAATATTTCTTCTAAAAAAAAAACTTGAATAAAAAATATGTTTATTTCATAATAGTTAGATGTTTTTTATTTAGAAAGTAAAAGTGCAAGTAATGATGCCCTTATATGCATTGTTTTCTTTCTTAAAAATACTTACCCTCCACTTTAATCACGAGCGAAAAAAGAAGCAAACATTTTATATTTTCAATTTAAAATATAAAAACAAAGAAAAAAAGTTTTTTTTTTTTTGTTATATGATCATGATTTGAATCCATATAGCTTTATCATCATATGGTTGATTTTTAATAGCAATTATGAAATTTTTCAGTTAATAAAGAATAAATAATATTAATGCATTTTTGTTTCTCATGCATAATAAGATCATATGTGCAACCAAAAAAACAAAAACAAAAACAAAAACAAAAACAAAAAATTATGCATAGTTTGTCACATAGATTTAAAATGTTCAATATAAATATTAACGAAAAGATTGTTCAAGACTAAAATCATAATTATAACATTGTTCAATTTCATAAGGTGAAAGTATACGAAATGAATCTAAACCCGATAAATTATTAGCACCAGTACGATTTCCAGATAAATATTTTGGATTAATTACAAATGGAATACCTTCAAGTATATCTTTTTCATCACTTTTTTTCGGAATTGTATTTGAATATTGATTTTCTGATGTATGATATTGTTGTTGAGATCCATAATATGATTGTTCATTCATTGAATTTGGATAAAGATTTGATGATGTTTGTGATAATGGTACAGGAGGTGGTGCTCGAAATGGTGGTACAGTACCTTCTTTAACACACATTTGTAAACCATTAATATCACCAATTAATGTATAAAATTGTGGTGGTCGTTTTGAGCGATAAAGAAATATGACATCACATATACATTTCATACCTGCTTGTCGTTCAACAAGTTTAACACATATTGTTCGTTTAACTGTACCTTTAGCTTTTGTATCTACTGTTTCTAGTAATGCAAAATAATTAGGTGGTGGAGTATCACGTTCATTAATAAGTTTAATATCTTCCAAAACTAATGTTGTATTACCAGCTAATGGAAATATACGTGTAATACAAACAAAACGATCTTTACGTTCAAGTAATGAATCAGTCATTAGATCAGCATCACGTGATGGATCATCAGAAACTAAAAGAAAAAAATTTTTGAAATTTTTAATGCATTATAGAAATATTATTTTAAAATATTCAATTAAACATATGTTCAATGTTTTATTTTCTTAAGTCGATATAACAAAAAAGCTCACTGTTATACGTACTAGTCATCCGTAAAGAACGTTCAAGTAACAAAATCGTATTTTTTTGATCTCTACTTTCACCATTCAATGTTCAAACTCTTTTCATAAAAAGCCTAATGTTGTCTACTCAAATTCGAATTATTTTAAGAAGAAAATAGTTTCGAAATATATTTTACTAATAAAAATTTGTTTCATAATTGATGATGATTTCGATTCTACGGCTAATATAGACTACTCACAGAAATCAACATAAATGGAGTAATAGACTTAGTCATTTTGATAATCACTTATGTAAATATTCTAATAAGATTAATTATTATCTTTCGAAGAAAGTATCGTAAATTTATTTACAACTTATTCAATAGATTATATTAAGATAAGAAAAAAGAAAGCCATACAAAGTTTAGTTTCATAATCTATCGACGAAGACTTTTATTTATAATTGGATTTAATAATCATTAGATAATTCTAAAAGTTTCAATGATCGTATCTGAATAAAAATATTATCGAATGAATTATAACGGAAATAAATATTCGAAATAGTTTCTTTATTAATTCAATTATTATTCTATTTACCTTTTCGAATACATATGTAACCAGTTGGTACATTATTTGGTTTTGAAACTAGACAAATACCAGTAATAGGTAAATTAGTATCATTCATTGATGCTAACATATTATCGTCACTATTCACAATATCACTAGAAGTTAATTGTTGTTGTTGTTGAGAAAAAAGTGAGTTAGGTAAAGAAAAAATAAAATTCGATATGCTAGCCAGTATGATATTTTCTACAGGTAATATAAATATAATATTTTTTTTTTTTTCTTTTTTATTGACTTAGATGAATAATTAGTTGTTGCTATTCAACAACGATGACGTATCTGAATTATTTTCATTGGTTAAGAATATTATTCAATGAAAAAAAAACAACAAAGAAAAAAAAGAAACTTAATAAATATATTTACAAAAAAAGAATTTTTATTAAAAATTTTCAATATTTTTAAGAATTCTTTATTTATCGATCTAATGATTAATTATATTTATATATTATATTTTTTTATATAATAATTATATACAATAAACAAATATTAAATGTAGAAAAATCTTTGTTTTTTCTTATTTTATATAACGACATCATAAACAATTATTAATAGATGTGTGTCATCAAGTAGAAGATATTTATTTAAATGCATCGATAGTCCTTATCAGTATGGATATATTATTATAGCGATTTGTAGTTGAGTAGTAGTACTTCGACCCTGATTTCTGTGCGAAGCTTACTATTCGTGTATGAGAATATCACAAAATTCAAGTTAGATATTAGATTAAGATTTAAAATTTATGTTCTATCGTGTTTTTAACTTTACCATGATGATTAGTTTGATAATTTTTTTTTTTGTCTTTTAACGATTATTCGTATTGAAGATCACAATCTACTTTTCAGAAACAACTTCATTTCATTTATCTTTTAGCTATTGAATAAATCTTGATAGTGTAGTACTCTTTAATATATCTGTGAATTGTTCTTTTGAACTAAAATTTTCACAATATATATTCAATGTTATGTAGATCTATTTTGTAAAAATGTTTGTTTTTCTTTTGTTTTTCAATATGATTGTTTACAATTGATTTGTAATTAATTAGCAAATATTTTTAATGTTTATTCGAATGTATTAATGAGATTAAATTGTTTTCTTTTTTCTAATACTTGTTAGATATCACATATTTTGATTATGATCTTAATAAATCATATAGGATAAATATAGTTTAATATCATGTTAAAACCTTGCTTTTTTTTGATTGCTTTATTTGCTGAGTATAAAACACATATCTTTTTGTTTTATTTTTATTTTTTTTCTTAACAAAAAGTTATCGTTTAAAGTGGCAGGCAACGACGACTAGAATAGAAGAGCCCAGTCATTCATTTTTCTTTTTTTTTTCTTTTCCTCCGTCGAAACATATCGTTTAGGCAGAAGAATAGCAGCATTCTACCAGTTAGTCCACGTTTTTCTATGAGAACACATAGAATACGAGAGCAAAGAAAATACTACAGCTCGTTGTGCACACACGTTTCATTATAGAATATACAAGTAAAGGCAATAATTGCACATTTTCTATTTATTTTCATGCATATGTTGTATACGATTTTCTCTATGTGCATAACCACACACACATAATATCCATATACAATATATCTATGCTAAATTACATATATATTTTGTTGATTAGACATCTTTTCTTTACTAGATTTTACTTATGTCTAATCAACAAAATGACAATGTCCAGTTGGACGATGATGCTCAAGAAACACAACAACCAAAACAACGTTCGAGAAATTTTTATCGAAAACGACCTGGTTCGAATGTTTTATATATATATATATGAGTGTTTATAAAAAAAATGATTTTATTTTTTTGAATATTATAGGTAGTGAACGACAAAATCAAGATTTAGGAGAAGATGAAAATCATGCTTTAAATGATGATGATACCCAACGATCGAATCATTCCGATGATAATGATGATCACGTGAATAATACACGAGGTACATTTTTTTTTAATGTGAATTTAGTTAAAATAAATATTTGATCTGTTATTTAATAGGTCGTGGTGGTCGACGAGGAGGTTTTCGACGTTTTCGTGGTACGCTTCTTTTTTTTTTCATCTCTATTATCCTTTCTTTCATGTTCATCAAATGAAAATTTCCAATCTGAATGATTGAGAATCTAGAATAATTTTTCTTTTATTTAATCTATTGGTTTTGTTTTAGGTCGAGGACGTTTTTCCCGTGGTATACCATTCTATGGTGATTTTCGTCGAGCTTATGCACCTTATACAAATTATATGAATGAACATGGAGGTAAGAATAATTTTAGAAACAAAAAAAAAACTTCATTTTTTCATTTATTTTATTTTAAAGGAATTTTTGTCCCTGCTGGCGAATTTTATGGTCCATCATATCTTGGTGGTGGTGATCTACCTGAACAAGAAGGTCTTATTGACTATTCAATACGTGGTAATCGAGGTTTTCGTGGTGGTCGAGGACGTGGTAGACGAAGAGGTCAAATAACAAAGAATGAAACGTATGTTTTTTTCTCATTTCAAAAAAATAATTTATCTTTTATTTTCTAGTACTGATAATAATAATATTAATAATAATCATGATAACAATGTTACTACTAATAATAATGATCAACAACAAGGAGAAAATACAAATGTAACTAAACGTCGTAATTCAAAACGTTATCAACGTAAACAACAACGAAAAAATACTGAAACTGGTACAGGTACCGAACAACCAACTGATGAGTAAGAAAAATAATTTATTATAGTTTTTTTTTTTTTTATTTTAAAAGCCTTTTTTTTTTTGAAAAATATTTAGTGTTGTAACAGATGATCAACATCAAGATGAAAATAATCAAGGTGCAACACGTCAAACACGAAGAAAATCTAATCGACAGTAAAGATCTATTTAAAATTATTATTATTTAATTAAGTTTTATTTTATAGACAACGTCGTCGTAATACAAATGCAAGTCAAAATGGAGCTGAAACAGATGATCGTACAAAATCTGCACCAATAAAAAAACCTAAAGATGATGAAACAATAGTGAAAAATGTTGTACGTTATATGGTTAATAAAGTTTGTCGTCGTTTAGCACCAAGATATCGACGACGAAGTCGTGCATATACAAAAGAAACTATTACTAATAATAATAATATTAATAAAAATACTGATGTTGAAAAACCACAAATAAATAATGCTCAACGTGGACGACATAGTGGTCGTCGACGAGGAAACGGTTATTTCATAGAACAAGGTCGAAATAAAAATTTAATTCAATATTGAAACTTTATTATTTTTTTTTCTTGTTTTTTTGTATATTTTAGGCTATTATGATCCATATGGTATGACACCGTATTATTATGGAATGTATTATGGTTATTCTGGTCGAGGATATACTGGTCGTGGTGAGTGAAATTGTTTAAGAAACAAAAAAAAAAAATTCTTTGTTTTTTTTTTTAACAGGTCGCGGCCGTGGTGGACGTGGTCGTGGTCGTTTTCGACAACGTAGAGGAACTAATAAAGAGAATCAACCTCAAAATAATAGTGAACAAGGAAAAACTGAAGGTAAAATATAATAATAAATTTTGTGTTTTAGTATCAGTTTTTCTTTCCAAATAGAATCAAATCCAACTAATGATAATTCTCAAAGTAAAACAACAATAAGTGAAGTAATCAATCAATCATTAAACAATGCTGATTCAAATCAATGATAAACACGCTATATTTTCGTTTTCCATCTTGCCAATCCTACATTCATTCATATGAGGTTCTTGTTTTTGTTTCTTCATGCCGATGTGATGTTTTAACTTGTTGCTGTGCCACTTCTTTTTTTTTGTATATGTTCATCACTTTTTTTTTGTTTGTTTGTTTTACATCATATTAGGGAAGCGCTATGTTCTTTTTTTTTCTTTTTTTAAGTAAGAGCGAAAATTTTGTTCTTTTTTTTTCTTGTTTGATTTAAAATAAAAACAAAAAGAAAATATGAGGAATTCTTTTCTTTTGTTGAGTTCGACATTCAAAGTTCAGATTTTATAATATGATGATCTTGAAAATGGAAACCAAGAAAATATTTATTTAAATGTAAGATGAAATAGATACAAGCTTTTTTTTCCTAGTCTTATTAAGAACGATCCGTTTGGTTTACAAATAGTGGCTAAAAAAAGGAACGTGTTTTTTTTTCAAATTTCGAGATAATTAAAACAATAACAGTTAGCTGCCATTCTTTTTACTTGTAACTTCACAGCGATGTGAATATAGCTAATGATAGATATGTTGATAAATGATAAGAGAATTCTCTTAGTAATGAATTTCTTATTGGCTATTTTATCAATTCTTCCAGAATTTGAACAGCTAATTGATTGATAGCTAAATTTTCTAATTTATAGCGACAGAAAAAAGACCTGATTTCATGAAAGCGTTAGTATTGTTGGAAAAAAAAAACGATTATTCGTGTTTTTTCTCGATTAATCGACATTCATATCTTAGCACTGTATTTTACGGTCGAGTAAAACTCCAATGTCATCTAATTTGTTTAGGTATCAAACAAGTAGAAAGAATTCATACGGCCAACAAAACATCAAGTTTTGAAAAGAAATAGTAAAATCTTAATTGGATCTGTTTTTTTTCCTTCAAAATCCAAATAGTGGACACTCCAGCAATAAAACCTTTGTTCTCTTAAATTACTTGACACTGTATTACGAATTGCAAATTAGTTTAATGATTTCTATTGAATGAAATATATATTAAAAAAATAATTTAGGACAAAGCTAAAGGACTCCATCGAATATAGCGGCTTATTTTGAATCAAGATACCAAACATGTGGTCTTGTAAAGTAATTTTTGATGCATCGAATAGTACATAATCAATCAAAATTTTCTTCGATTTTCATCTGCTAAGAACTCATGTACTAGTTATAATCATTGAAGAATATAAGTTTATATTCTTGCACATTTGTAAAAATTTCATTATTTTTACTGTAATATGAATAATGAACTTTTATGCCAAATTTTTCATCTTTACGTATTTGATTCAATTTACATTTTATTAACAATTCATAATCCGATAGAATTATTGAATAAAAATCTATCAAAGTAATAAAATCTGTAGATTCCTGAATTAATTTAAATGTTATATATTCCATATAACATACGATTAGATGATTTTTATAATACAACCATTCGACTGAATCAAACTTTGGAAAATATTGATACATATTATTAATTGCATGTGTAAGAGGATGATTGAAAAAAATATAACAAAAAATAAACAAACAATATCTATTACTACTTCATTTTACAAGTTCAACGCGAGGATATGATCAAATACGAGAACTATGAGAAATTTTTTTTTTTTTAATATCTATTTTTATTGTGCCATAAGTAACTGGTTCACAAATGAGATATAAGAGAGAGAGAAAGAACTAACGTACGTGAAAAACGCCAAATAATGGGTGTAACAACTACACTACTATATAAAGTAAGAGGTACATTTAAAATAACAGTAGATAAAAACACCATAATGTAAAGAAAAGTAGTAACAGAAAATATAATAACAAAAGTAGTAACAAAGTAGAGTAAAGAGAGATTAATAACTGTAAAACAATAACAACCAACAACAATAATCAGAAGATGAAGAAAAGAAAAGTATACGGAGACAATCCATGTAACAGTTGTATCATTCTGAGGACAATGACTAGATAACACTATTCATTTATTGTCGGTATCACAAAAAGGGCTTAAAGGTTAAATTAATGTATTGCTATATACTTAAGGTTCAATCATTTCATTCTCAGGTTCATAGTATTTATTTATTGTGTCTTAAATATTAGAAGGCCTAAGATGGCAAAAGGAAATATTTATATATGAAGGAGTTTATCATATTCGTTGATTTCTTAAAGTATTCGTATTGTTTAACATGAACTACATCAAAATCTACCCATTCAATTAGGCAATGCTTCACTTGATTAATTAATCTATTTGGAAAGATACTATTTTTACGAAATCCCATTGACTTGAACCAACTATTATCAGGAGAAGTAATAATAAGAAATCCATTCCAGGTCTGCTGGAAGGAAAGTGCCTCG